TGTTTACTGCATAATACACAGCCTCTTTATACGCTTTCCATAAAAAAAAATAATGCTTATACAACAAATCCTTTGCTGAAGTGCAAAAAACCATTAATGATCGCATCCCATCAACGTGGGTCCATGTAACGCACTCCTTTTTAACGACACGATCGGGTTTCATTCAAATCCTTTTTTTCTCACTCCTTAAGGTTTTTGTCCATTGACGTGCCATAAACCCGTTGCTAGCGAATTATGATGATTATGATGTTGATAGAATAAATTTTGCCACGGATCGTATTTCTCTACATGCACGCACTACGTATCGAAGCAAATCATTTGGGAAACGTGTGTTTACGACCCACGACAATGCGTAGATAGCAGAGAAATATCGCAATTTGATAGCCATATTACTCACTACACCCTGGATCGCTAAACTCAGTTTTATAAAGGAGAAAATGCTAATGCAAAAAAAAAAGAAAAGAAAAAAAAAAACGAAACAAAAATAATAATGATCGTTAACATGATTTATTGAATGCTGTGTATTTTGTTTGATTCATGCGCGACTTTAATGTGAGGTATAGAATGTGCAAAAGGTGGAAGACATTTTTAAGTATATAGTTCATTGCATATTGAATTCATCGGTTCACTCTTTTCCCCTCCTGTCAACATTTTTCTTAAATGCGATTGTAAACAACGAATTGTATCATGGCATACTGTATATCATATCATTATTATCATATCACACATCATACCATAACATATCATATCATAACTTATCATATATCATATATCACATCATATACTATAATATCACATCATAGTACGGTATATACCGGTATCTTATTATTATTATCATCACATATCATATCGTATTATATCAATCATACGTAACATATCACCATATTATAATCATATACATATACTGTACTATGACTTATATCATATATCACATCATATCATATCATATCGTAACATATATAAAAATAATATCATATCATATATCATTGTAACATATCATGTCAAATCATACATATCATGTCATAAGATCATATCATATCGTATCATTATTTTACTGTATATTTTACTACGGTATATTATTATATATCACGTATATCACATTTTGTTAATTTTCTAAAACTACAACATTCATCAAATGTTTTATACTCTCTCTCGATTTATTATTATATATTGTATTTTGTTAAATCCTATCATACAATAATATATCAAATCACATTATCGTATCATATCACATCGTTACACTATATCATATCGTTTATTCTATTTTCAAATCAAATGTAATCAGATGTTCAATAAATATATATAATATATTGTATATTATACTACATTATATTACATTATATCATATTATAATTATATTAATACTACGTTATATTACATTACATCATCAACTATATCTGCAACTGCGAATAATAATTTTTATCTAAAAATATATATAATCAAATTAACATAATATAAGCGCACGAATATGATATACATAACACAAATATCATAAGACATAGGTCTAGACCTTTATAGCCTAACATCTCTGATTATATTCTGAGAAATGCAATCAAACAGGATCATCTTCCACCTTTGCCTAAGTTGGTCGAAGAAGACCTCCGCCTAGCCTGCCTGCTAGTAACCGACTTTACTTAAGCAGGTTAATAGATAGAGAAGGTGATTAAAACTGTTTCTATAACCCTTTTCCAACTCGACTGATAATATCAGCGAAAGCTGCGGTATCCAACGATGAGTACAAGTGATTCTTCAATATTTTGTTTTGTTTTTGCAGGTGCCTGGTCACCCTGCTATGACGTACAAATCCTGACCTCTGCGTTGAGTCGAATTAGCATGTAACCTTATACGATAGACCACAGCGACACGGACTTACTCAGTTCAAATACCATATCACTTTATTTTTAAAACACAACGATACTTCTAAGCAAAGAACTGATTAAACGATAACCTAGTAGTTTCAATTATTTACCGGTATGACTGTACCGTAAATTGTTCTAAATTCCGTCACAGTAGGCGATTTATGTTTTTTATACGTAACGAAAAAAAAATCGATTTATTTTGTTGGTTGATATTTTTCAAAGCTCTTCGACACCTCTTGTGCTTCGTAATTCATTAATGAGTGTACGCGGGTTCTGGGAAGACGACGTCGTCATAATTTCATCTCTGTTACCCGTCCATTTAATTTACTATGTGCTTCACTTCATTGTTGAAATTGCTCGATTCAGTCATCGTTTCTTATCTGTGTGTCTATATCCATAACGTTCCTTCTTTAGTCTATATCACCGTTTGGCTATATACAAGTCTTCAACACAGACCTCATGGCACATACTGCGATTCAATAAACAGAATATGGGTTTTACTATTGATATGGAAATAATAAATCTAATATAAGCCCTACTATAGCACTATGATAGTAAGTAAGCACCGGGGGACGAAGGCCTATTAATATATTAAGGGCTACTATGTATTCTAAAATAGTAAAAACACATCGTGCTCCTTTGTGAAAGTGGCTACGGCATAGTAACAATAATAATGAATCCATATTCTTATAGCTCCAGTTATTGAGTCAATAACCTCGAAAGTTAAACAAGGAAGAAACATACAGTACATATAGGCTTAACAGTATTGAATAAGGAAATGGGATAGGGCATATGGGTTCCGCAAACGATTATTACCGGTATACGGATACCGATGCTAATCATATCTGGATGATAATAGGCCTATACATCTTTAAAAACTGCTTTTATGTGTGCTTTTATTGTAAAATACCTTAAACATTCTTATAAGCATATTATAAACATACTGTTTTAAGCTAACTACAATAAAAGTCAATATTGAAATGCTTACTGTATGCATTTTTTCAATAAAAAATTTAATACGTGAAAATATTTTCCAGTGAAAACATCCCCCTCCCCAACCCCGATTAGTAAGCCCATGATAAGCCTATCTTGGGGTCCCTAGCTTTAGCCAGAAGAGTGTGTTTACGCGATCTAGTGTATCTCACAGATTATTTTATGATTTTAGTGCTTCCGTAGAGTTATTTTGGTCTGCAGGAGGTGGATTCAACGGGGGGAAAGAGGAATGGAAGATTGCATGCAAGTTTAAGAGTGCCATATTTTGTCATCTAGACGCGCCATAGACATAACATTTCTTTCAGTACCTCAGAACCAACCATAGTGGGTCTAAGGTAGTCTGGACCCCCCATCTGGGAATTTCTCCCTCCCCCCTCCTTATTTTTTTTTTCATTTCCTGGATCCGCCACTGAATTAGTTCTTATTCTTATTTTTATTCTTATTCTAAAGTTTAAGGACTTACAATCGTCATAAAACATCTCTTTTTTATCGGTTAATATTAATGTAGAAATGATTTTATTGGTGTGTGAGTGCCGTAAATGCAGGTTTTTAGTCTGCCAAAGTTTACATTCTCAAACGGATGGTATTAATGGATATCAAACATAATCGCCCGGGTTCAAAGATTACGGTACATCAAACTTCTATAACTTCCCTCTGTTTGAAATTCGAGTCGATCTGTAAAAAAGTTGAAAGCATTGTAGTTATAGAACCCGTCACTTAAAGGACAAAGCGAGAACACGAGGTTCTAGCATCATATCGTGTCGTAAATCGGTAATTTTAGCAATCAACTCTTACAAAATTGTAGATTACTGATTATAAAATACAAGATACGACACGGAGAAGAGTAACAACCTTTGCTTAAGACACTTAGCTTATCATTAGTGCTCAGTTTTAATTATTTGAGACCAAAATGATATCAAAACGGTGATTGTTTTGTAATGAAATATTACATGGCTTGTAAAAAACCGAGTTATAATGTTGCACATTTATGATATAATAGTAGAATACTTATTACGGAGAATTGGAGCATGCGAGGAGTCATCTTCATTTACGATCTTCATTTGACAGGCGATGATCCAACAAAAGTAAACATTTAAACATGGAAGAGTGAAGATGATACGAGGGTCTGGTGTGTCTTGTTTGCCGGTCCATGTAACTGGGTACATATCGAAAACTTTGGTTGTTATCCAGGAGAGTAACCCAAGAAGCGTACACAATGTGCGATACTGTATCGGCTCGCTCGCGACCATACTTTGAAAGTATTGTTGCCGATGGGATTACACATCGATTACGGAACGAATTTATAATAGGATTTGTAAAATATGTTGTATTTTGCGCGCTATTTTGTTTTAAATATAATTTTGATATTTTAGGAAAATAAATGTTACAAGAATTTTAATTTTTTGTACATGGTATATGGTGCTTGTCATGTTGAGACGGATAGATTACTTTGATCATGGTACTAATATACCTTTATACTTTCATATCATAGACTCAATCTATAAAGTCTATTACGTTAAATTTTCTGAAAAGGGAAGCAATTGTTAAGAGAATAACCCCAGGCATGGAGGTAAATAAGCGATCCTAGCGTTATGCCCGATGTGTACGCCATCTGCATCATACAGAGTTCCTTATTAAAAGTTCAAGAATGATAATAATAGCGATCGCATCAATTGAACGGAGTATATGACCTATTCAGACGTAATGTTTGCTCAAAATATTTACTGAATGATTCAGTGGTGAATAATGGTCTCTTTACCTTGTCAGTTCAACCGCTGGATATAGAACACACTAAACGATGGCATTGTTACAGGTCTATTAACTGTATTGTACATAATTCTCATAGGCCTGTATATATACATATGTCTTTGTAGTTTATATATTAACAAAAATCTAAACACAATTTCATCGTTATCCCTTCTGTATTCTAGTTATTAGAAGTCTAGAACGATTAATAATTTTAGAATTCAAAGGGCTTGGAAACGTTCGCAGCAGAACGTCCACACCTCAAGTGGTATCAGGTTACCTTGATTGACGTGGTTACCACGGTGATTAATTCCTATTCTGTGTTCATAATGGTACCAAAACTGATGCGCAGTATGAGCCAATCACAAGCAATGATATAGAAACTGCAGGTTGAGGCTCAGCTAAAGTGTTGTTTCCCGTGACTTGATAGACTGTAAGCAGATTCTCGCCACATATCATTCGCAGCCACTTCTTTACACTAAAATAAGTATTCTTACGAGTGTTTCATCATTCCTCCTGCGGGAACTATACGCCGGTCTAGTACATATACTTTTGAATTTTGGAGGGAGATATCTGTTAGCGTCTGTCTATTCTAGCAAAGACGTTCCAACAGTATGCTTCCGTCTTTTGGTTTCACTCAGGATCAGGTGGCCTGTGTGTGCGAGGTACTGCAGCAAGGCGGTAATATTGAGCGACTCGCTCGGTTTTTGTGGTCATTACCGGCCTGCGAACATCTACATAAAAATGAAAGTGTACTGAAAGCTAAAGCTATAGTCGCATTTCATCGAAGTAATTTTAGGGAACTTTACAAAATCCTTGAAAGTAATAACTTTGGTTCGCACAACCACCCTAAATTACAAGCGTTGTGGTTGAAGGCACACTATGTTGAGGCGGAAAAGCTCCGTGGCCGGCCGCTTGGCGCAGTAGGAAAATACCGTGTACGGCGCAAGTTTCCACTGCCTAGGACGATATGGGACGGGGAAGAAACAAGTTATTGTTTCAAGGAGAAGTCAAGGAGTATGTTACGAGAATGGTATTCACACAATCCATACCCATCTCCGCGTGAAAAACGGGAGCTATCTGAAGCCACCGGCTTGACCACAACTCAAGTAAGCAACTGGTTCAAAAATCGTCGTCAACGGGACAGAGCAGCTGAAGCTAAAGAAAGGTAGGAAATAGGCTAACATTTATACTATTTATTTTCAAAAGTATATTGAAGGTGCTAAAAACTGTGTTACACCAGTACAAAATCAAAATAGGTTAAGAGCAAGTGCCCCTTTTTGCTACGGTGCTGCTCGAGCGAGCTAGCGTATAGTACCTATTGTTTTGGCGTTGCGAGGTACGGCTCTATCGCCGCTAGTGCACGCTCCGTAAGCGGTCCTTGACATAGTCCATATTCACTTTTGTTCCTCGGATTAAGCCCGACACACTCACTATAATTTCATTACAAAACCACAACAATTGCAACTTTGCAATCTTCTGAAAAGTCATACAGTTAACAATTAAACGCTCTTTTAGAATATCGTTCTCTTTTATTATCGCAATTTTTTTACAAGTAGCGTCGAATTAGATTTACGGAACGCTGACGCGTGTGCTTTTCAATTTAATATGTCTTATAATTATCTATAACTTTATTTTCATATCATCGTTTTTACGTAATAAAAACGGTGGATTACTATGTAATTAGCAGGAGTCAATCAACAAACTAATAAACAATAAATACGTAGAGAATCAGACGGCGATGTAACCTATTTTAGGATATTGCTTCGATGAAAGCTAAATGAAGCAACCGTGCAACAATTCAGACACTAATAATCATAGCTGCATCACCTAATCACTGGCTTTTGTTTTAAAAATTGCATATGGTAAAGTGGTTTTCCATGAGTGAATATTATTGTTTTCCAGCGAATCACAGTCCTTAGGGAGGTACACTGTTGAGTGTCTAACATCAATACATTATCATTGATAAACCTTATATTGAAGCTAATTTTCAGTAAGCCAGAATATTACATCCTCCTTATGAATTTAACATGAGAGACGAGTAAATTTAATTTTAATATACGAAGCATGTTGTTTATATGATGTTGTCTTAGGATTTATGTTGTTTATAATGTTGGCTTAAGGAATATTCGTTGTGAGTTTTCTAGTTAGGCTACATAAACATGATTCGTGTTTTGTTTGGCTTTTGTAGGGAAAACGTAGAGCAGGAAAACAAGGCACTGGGTCGAGCAAGCACAAGTTCCGAAGACGAGTCGGGTATGTTAGAGAACGGCGAGGCCTCGGATTTAAGTTCACCACAGCACTCCTCGCATCTTGTTCAGGGTATGACGACACTAATGCCTCATCCGCCATCAGCCCCGTCGGCAATAGCAGTAAGCGGCCATGATGTTATGACATCAAGCCTTAACACTTCCATATTGGCTCCTATGCCTAACAATCATTTAGTAGACCTAGGATCCTAGCCCGAGTAGACATAACCTAGACGAGCTTGAATTTGCAATATTCTCGAGCTTAAAATTAAGCATTTCTCTCCTCTCATTATGAACTTTTAAAAGCTTTATCTAACGTGTGTAATGTGTTGTCCTGTAAAATCAAAAACTCAAGAAATTATTAATGCCGAAGGCAATTTGAATCTATGTAAACCACTTGAGCTCGAATGTGTTGAAGCTGAAAGCTAAACACGGAAACTGTCTTCAAATATGAAGTACTATCGTCAACCTTAATGTTCTCTGTGTACCAATGCCATACTATGTGTAGCTAAGCCAAGAGTTAGGCCTCTGCGTTGTTGCATCGATCAAGGTTTAATTCACCCCTGAATAAGTGACTGTAGTCCGAGTGGTGTTCAGTCACTGTAGCTGCATGCCGCTAGCTAGCTAGCACGGAGCAGGGTGAATGCCACACTTCAAAAGCCAAATAATATAGATTGGCAAACACAAACCAGCTGACTTAGTTGACTATATACACATTAACAGACTGATGAGCTATCAATTCATCTCTTTGTATATCACATTCATTTAAACTATTGCTCGAAATTAATTGGTCTTTTTTTTCAAAGACAATGATAGTAATAACTACTGTATATCGACATCTGTTATGTAATGTAAAGTGCGTTGACATTTCCGTTCCTAGTGTTGTATGGCTTAAATTATTTTTTAAAAACTTCTAAATGAACGTATGTTGTATAAAAGTTATTTGCATTGTAACTGGAGGATAATGGTCATCATAGGATTTAAGACAAAAATACTTAGGTAAATATGAAAAATGAGATATACAAATAATGTAACAGAATCGCCCATAATGCTTTAAACAAGATATTTATACAGGTTAAGCATGGCTGCTATGAGAAAGTCGCGTAGCATAGTACGATCTGTAATGCTTCTCTATATGTTATGTATTCTATTCTATTACTATGTCTTAACTACTACAAATACTGTATAGGCATAACAGTATGTTCGTCCACTTCCAGCGTCTACCTAAGCACAACCACTACCGGCAATAGCGAATATACTGAACAAAATTAATTACCACTTAACTGATCAGTGCATATTTCTTTCTTGGCGCTTATGAATTATTTTAACGTTTAATTACCTCCTTAGGTTTTCTGTAGTGTTTCTTGCAAAAATGGGATTTTTGACCATAGGGACACCGTCCTTATATTATTGTACAGTAACTTAATGATGACTAATGTAATACTGTAATAATAATACACTACAACTAACAGTAACTACAGATACCATCACCTACCACGACCACCACCCACTACTAGGTCTACTACTAAATAGCACCAACAGAAAGCAGGCTACTATTTATTTCTATTGCCGGTAATATAACTAGACCTATAACCATCTCGTACTACTACCACCACGTTTACTAATAGGGACTACTATCAGTTTGTGCATTTGGGACCACCTACAAATTTATTAGATGTGCTATTGTACTATCGAGTAATAGTTTATTCCTCTTTTAGGGCTACTTGTAGTATTAAAACTACTACTCATACTACTCAAGTACAGCTACTACCACCTCTGTGCTACAAAATAGGCCTACTTCTGCTACTGTCGCTTCTGCAACTACAATAATGCTGTCTTTAGTTATCTTCCTTACTTTTCTACTTAATAAAACCCTATTTTTGGTTGGTCCTTTCAAAGCTAAAAACTTTCAAATTATCACCAAATTGCGTCTTTGATAGCGGCTATTTTGTATATAACAGAACGTTCAACCTTCAAACAAGGCTGTTAATAAGACTAAAACTTAAAGTTAGCCAATATTGGGAAAGTTCATCTCACATATTAAATAATATGTCTTCAATTATGTTCCTCCATGCAAAAACTGTTTAATGAATATTGTTTTAAAAGAATTTAAGAAAATAAAACTGGTGTAACTGGTGTAAATAGATAAATGATAAACTTGAAAAATATTACCAATAGAAAGAATGTATGTTACCCGTATTCGGAAAACATGCAGTAAATTTTAACAAACAGGGTAAAAAGTTGCGTACCAAACGAGCAATTTGCAGCTCGAGTGTACATCTCTCTTTGCATTTGCGACTTTGCGTGTCAGTATTTTGCGGAAAATAAGAGTAAATATACGTTTTGACAATCTGAAAATAAATGGTTTAAAACGAGATACAATGTCCATTGCTGCATTTGTCAATATTGTAAATGTTTATACATCTCACCTTCATTGGGGTTACGGTTTACTTTACATAGGCCAAGAGATTTACTTCCTTTCTCTATAATAGACCAAAGTGTAGTTACAACGTTTTGAACTTTGTTATCTCCCCTGTCGACTAAGTTGTACTATTGTGTGAATGAAATGCACAAAATCCAAGCTTGTATTTATATTTTCGTTCGTAACAAAACATACGACGAAAGATGATCCGCATGTGGCTGGAAGAATTCATCGACTTTGAGGAGTTTCCAAAGGAAGACCAAGAAAAACCGCAATGCCGGGTAAGTTCCACATATTATCATTTTTCTTCTTCTCTATGTTATATTGTTTATCATTGAGAAATCTTATCCAAATCCTTATTCATTAACAATGTATGCCACTGTTGTTTTTATATATCCCCTTTACATGTGAGAGGAACGAATTAAGTCGTCGACATATTGCTTTTTTCAAACCTCATGGAGTTTTGAAATTTCTGCTGATGAAGCTCTATGATTAACACTCTTTTTGTTCTTTTTGACTTAATAAAGAAGATACTGATGAGTAATTTAAGAGATGATTTATTGTCTGTCACATTTTACACAATAATTACGTCAGTCGTATTCCAATTTCGAAAATAAATGCAAGCGAGTGCGTTTTTTTTTCCCAATTCTTTACCTGTGACACTGCCCCCAATCGGTTTCATTTAATACCTCAACTTTGAACAAATATTTTAAAATAAAGGTCGAGTTTCGGAGAAGGTTACACAACATTGTTTACTTCATATAATTCCCTTTCAGAGTAGTAATCATATTACATACAATGTTTGTGTAGTATTTTGTTTCCTGTGTGTAAAATCCTAGTATCATTATAATATAAATATAATAAATCTCAAGCAATTTAGTAAAGGTTAATTTACAGGATAATAAGTTAAGCTTATTAGAATATTAATAAGAGGATGCCTTCTCCAAATTCGGGTAGTATTCTTGATCCTATTTCTATAACATAGGTTTGTAGTAATACTTGTATGTCAGTCTGTCCTTATTATGCCATTTAGAATATCGATTAAGATATCAAACTCTGATCGAATTTATTACAATTGAAGTTCATTGCGTGTTTTTAAATAATTTTATTTTTTATGTTGTTATGTTATCATTTATAACCCAGAATTTTAATGTATCATTGCTTCAGTACTGGTATAGGCAATACTCTCGAAATGATTTAATTTGTTTTATATAGGATGCTTACCGCTACTTTTTTTTTTGTTAATTTATGTTGTTCTGAACCGTCTTCATAATCAGTATTATTTATGCCAATAAGTAAACGTTAACACAATTTTATCCGAATATATGCATGTTACTTCGTTAATATTTAATTTTGTTAATGCATCGACCTGTACATGTCCGTGCAGTACAGATTTGTTTGGACTGCGTGGCACCGTGCTCTCTATCTTGGTATTATGGTTACCCGCCACAGTGCATGCTCGTTATTCGTTCATTTTTAAGTTGTCCGGAACCACATTAATCATCTAATACACAAATTATAATTGCTTGAGTAATTTGTTAGTCAAGACGTCTAATATGCTGCACCAATTCTACACAGATGTATAAGTAACCAATGCTTACTACTTCCAAAAAATAGAACTAAAATTCTTGGGGCTTTTTTCATCTATCTGTTTCATAACCAATTTTAAACATTATTTTATTTTCTCAGTGCAAATATTATGATTACTTTAATTAGTACTACTTTCTTGCTAGGTTGCTATTCAGTTTAATTCCAAAGTTATGAGAAAAAATAGCAGCCTACTACCAAGAAAATAAATATTCCAAGATATTTCTACACAAATGTTTAAGTAATCAATGTTAACTTCCAAAAAACTAGAACTAAAATTGTTATGGTAATTTTCACCTGACCGTTTAATTTTCTCAATGCAATGATTACTTTAATCAGTACTTTCTTGCTAGGCTGCTATACAGTTTACATCTAAAGTTATGAGGAAAAATATAATTAAATATTCCAAGATATAACCCCCTGAACGTAGGAAGCTATAAACGTTATATGAATTGCCTGTATATCTTAAAATAGGCTAATGATTTTCAATGGAAAATTTAAATGAGTTACTATTTTCCTTGCCAATTTAAGCCTGGTTTTCCATAAAGACCATTCCAAACATTCTTAAATGAGATTGGTTGGAATGGTTTGTTGAATTTTCTAGATTTTGCCAAAGACTGTTTACTTTATAATCTAAATACTTGAAACTTTTAATTCATTTAGAGCTTGTTTTAGAGATGTTATTCTACGTCTCAAGTGCGTCGTGACCCTCTCTGCCACAATAACTTTCGTATTGATTCTGGAAGTTTGTATTTCAAAACGAATTGAGTATTAGTCTGTGGATAAGAAAGAAAACAACCGGAGGTTAATAAGAGGATTGCCCATTTCCAGCACCGATAATACTTTAATAATTCGATATAAAGAAGTAACAATTATATACCATAGCCCTTTGTACATATTAGGATTTCTGGTAACTTGTACTGTATATAGTTTGTCTCTCTGTATAATATTCCTGATGATGCTTAAATATTGTAAAAGTGAAACGTAGAATATAATAGCCTTATTATATCAGTTTTGGAGTGATAATATTATTTATTGCTCTATGTAGACTGACGAATAAAAAAATATATAATATAATATATCACTTATTTTTAAAATTAAATATAAATTATATTATCATAATGAATGAAAACGTAAATTATTTTTGTAGTCATAGTTATTTGTCGTAAAAAAACGTCTATTTTAATTTGTAACTACATTTTATCTTTTAGATTGTAGTGCGATATGTGGAGATTATTTGTGTATACTGGATACAAAATTATGATAAAAATAATTATTATAATTGAATAATATATTAAATCAAAATATTAATATCTATATCATAAATCTCCAACAAACTTTAGTCTTAAAGAAGTTTGTAATTGATTTTAAACAAAGGGCAGGCTTTGTAAGGATTCATAATCCAGGCACCCGTAAATTCGCAACCTTCGTCTGTTTTAGTTATTTCCTGTATACTATAGCTATGGTGTTTTTATTATTTTGTTTTTTAATCTAGATGTCTATTAATAATTGTATTCTATTAGCCCTTAATACAATTACATATCATAAAGAATATCATAGACTCTTTAAATATTTATTAGCATTACTGTAATGAAACTTAATATAATAAACACCTCTATCAGTGGTACGTTGATAATATATTAATAATACAGTGGCCTATATATAATTATGTATACACACGTATATATAGGCATATATTTTGTATGCATATTATAATGTTCATTATTTTTGTTATATTATTATTGTTTTTGTTATTGTCTTTGCTATTATTATTATTATTATTTATTATTATTATTATCATTTATTATTATTATTATTATTATTTTGAATTACATTGTATTTTAAAAAGGCATCTATGTACTTAATTCCTAGTAACTATTTTTGTTATAAACTAACAGACATTTTGTATGCTAGTATGCTTTAACACAATTATACAATGAAAATGCACAACTAGTAGACTGTTAACGAAATTTTAAAACAAGGTTAGAATAAGAGTACAATAAAATACTGCAGGATAATGTACAGCATTGCCTAGGCCCAGTGGTTACCACAATATACATGCAATGCTTCGCACAGGCTAGCCTCGCTTTTCTCATAATCTGGGTCAATAAGAACGACATTGATCGCGTTAGTTCAATGCAACGGTTTCATATCTTAGCATAGGTAATTATATCAGCAAAGCATTCAATATTCATATATGAACATAAACCTTCTATTGTTTTTAACGAAAATCCCGTTTTTATTGAACATTCAGTTGTATTTAGGTTAAAATATATAATACATTCATTTATTTATAGATATATGTAGATTATAGAGAAAGCACATGTAAATACGTATTTAAATATATACATTTGACTTATGTAATATTATTGTATTTTAAAACCTTTTTTTTGTTTTTAAATTAACCTAAACTATATGTAAGTTGACTTTCTGCCATTTAAACGTGAGTAATAGACTTTAAATTCGATTTGTATGTAATGAATGTGAATAACTTGTCACATTTATGAATACATTATATTTCAAACAGTTGCCCCGGTTACGATGTTATCGTGGTGAAATTAATACATAATTGATGTCAATTTAATGATGGACAGTATTAGTAGAATAACGCTACATCCTCTCTACTGATCTCTCTTTTGTTGCATAAACACACAAGAAATATAAGTAGTTATTTTGTATACGGCCCATCAATATGTGCTTTAAATTCATTCGCCTTATATTTAGTCGTGGTTTTTTTCTCTATTTATTTTGAGATAATAGCATTTTAGAATAGAGTTTATGCTGGAAATTTGATCGAAATCTGATCGAATTGAGATGATTCGATGATTTGATGTTTTCAATATTAGGTTTATAAGTTGTTTAGATTATTAATGTTAGGTGATCCGGTATAATTATAAAGTTATTATAGCTTATCTTTTATTAAAAGGTATAGTTGAGTTGATGCTATTTGAGTAGGTTATGGTCAAAGTATTAGTTTTACCTTTAATCTTCTTCGAAGTCTTTCCTTTCACAGATTCTTTAGTTTCATTCATTTTATCATTAATTTGAAACAGTTTATCACTAATATCAGTTTTTTCGTTTATTTCCTATAACTCGATCCTGATCTTATTAATAGCCGATTACCTTAAATATTTACAACATTACTTGTAATTCAATTAATTTAAAATAAAGTTTGTACGCGGTCAGGAAAATTTCTCTGAAGAAGAAACAAACTACAGTTGTAGAAAATAAATTCATTCAGTTATAGCTATATCAAACGAATTGGCGTTTATCTTAATCCCCTGTCCTCCTTCTATAGCTGTGTTTTCTGTGACTGTTGTGTTGAAGGATCTGTACATATTATGTTTACCTTGTAAGGTTTATTCTCTCG